ATTTGAGGTGGGTTTTTGAGTTATCTCCAATTCTCAAATAAAATTTTTTATGTATTTTTTCCTTTTATTTTTATATTTAAGGATTGGTTAAGCAACTAATTTCTTTGTTTTTTTAGTTTTTAGTTTTTTTTTTTAAAATGAGCGTATGGCAAATAGAAAAGGACATGGAAAGCATTGGGATGAAATTTGTGATTTCTTTGGTTGGATTAATATTTTTGGATCTTTTTCTTGTAAATTTAAAGTTGTTCTTAGTGAATTAATTTTGTAATATTTTAATAAAAGATTAAAACTATATGTTATATTTTGTGTTTTTTGATTTGTTTCTTGTTTATTTAATTTGTTGCAACTTTTGTTACGATCTTGATTTATTTTTAATTGTTTCACTTTATTGTTTTTGTGAATGAACACATCTTGAAGTGACATAAAGAAATCTAGGGAAGTCAAGCTACGGATGATTGTCAAGATGAGAAAGAGGTTAAAAAAAAGTCCTTGGACTTGATCTTAATAGATCAATTTATAGCAAATACTAATTTGAGATTGGTTTTTGCGCTATCTTAGATTCTCAACAAAAAAAAATTAATTATTTTTTCTTTTGTTTAAATAATAAAGATTCATTAAAGAGTTAATTTTGTTTGTTCTTTTTTATTTTATTTTTTTATGAATAAATGACTAATAAAAAAGGACATGAAAAAAGTGTAGGAGAAGAAGTGTGTGATTTCTTTAGTTAGATTATTATTTAGATTTGATGCTATAAATTTTAGTGTTCCTTTTAATGAATAAATTTTGTAGTATTTTAATAAATAAATAAATAAAGAAGAATATTTATGCTATATTTTGTGTTGATTGATTTGTACCTTTTTTTTTTTTTCGGAATAGGAGCGGTACCTTGGAATATATTGATTTAAAGTGGAATGAAATGGGAGGGGGAGACAAACCGACTGCCCAACAAACTGGAAGGGCAAGGAAGTCTATACCCTTGAAACATTATAGAAAATTTCATGAAAATTACAAACGAGAAAACATGTAGGCTACTAATATAAACTCTAATAAAGAGAAAATTTTAACTTACTACCTACTTAAGAGATTCTAAGCCTACTCGAAAATAGCAGAAATCGAAAAAATTCTCATAATGGGCAAAGACCCAAAAAGCAATTGACAAAACGTAGCTACCAACTACCTTGACTATATGAAGGCTATTGTAAATAGAGATAGCCTTCTATAATGTCCCCTTCCAAAAGCCTACCTTCCTAGTGTTCGATAGCGTGGTCAAAAGGAAAATACGCCTAGAGCATCATCCGGAATAGCTTGATGACAACCGATTGGGAGCTCAGCCATTGTGAATGCAACTTTTTAGGAGGCATTATGAAAGGCCCATGCTTGGGAGACTCGTCAGCAACTTTATTTCCTTCTTAACGAACATATTGAAACACTCGTACTCGGAATGATGTTTGCCCAACAATCTCGTAGTATGTAAGTGAGCTGCTAAGGAAAATCTTGAGATCGCAATAAACTACCTAGTACAAGAAAAGAATCAGCCTCTATAATATTAGGATGAAGATTATGGAGCTTGCATATTCCGATACCCTCTTGTATAGCCAAAAATTCCCCTTGTTGTTGGATCCAAAGACAAAGAAACTAGAGAACACCATTATCATTTTCCCATGCTCATTATGAAGAATACCTCGCCCACTACACATATTTCCCCTTGAAGCACCATCCATGTTTAGTTTCAAGGTACATAAAGGAGAGGCATTCCATCTAATCCATCTTCCTCAAACCGTAACAAAACCTTGAATCGGAATCCCCAAAGCTTTTAGGAAAAGGCTATCATGGAAAGAGGGAGAGCATTTCGGAGTGAACAACTTATTTAGATTAATTAACCGAGTAAATCACTTTGTGTTTAATATTGATAGTAGTCATCAACTCATCCTAAAAAATGATCTATTTTTTGCTAACCACAATTCCTAAATGACAAAGATGAAAGCCACCAAGTGTAAGAATGATTTCTAGGAAATAGGCTTGCTTTTGTATAGCCATCTTGCTCGATAGTCGCCTCACCAATACAACTTCTAGAACCGCATCTAAAACATTACCAAAGAAACCCTATAACTGAATAGCAATTTCACATTGAATGAATAATGATCTCTAGACTCTTATTGGGCACTCTAACAACACCTACATTTTAAGGCAAAGGAAACTCCACACGTCTTTATATTTGTATCAATAGTAAGGGCATTATGCATGAACTTTTATACCATGATTCAAACTTTCCTAGGTACCCATTTATTCTATAAGCTCATCCATCACTTAAATTTTAGACCGAAGCCTCGTTGGACTTATGATATGCTTTAGAACTAAATCTATCTTATTTACCTTCCATGTAACACAATCTCTCTACCAAGCTACTATTCAAATGAAGACGAGTCTAATTTATTTTTTACTCAAAAGGGAAGTGAGGAATATGCCTTTGGATTGTTTTTTTCCTAAGCTAGCATGATCTCAATGCTAGCTGTAGGAATGGGAAGGTCCATCATTGTCCACTATCCTTCCACGAGCCTTAACTATCTATAACAAGTTATCTAGTGGCAACCTTATGTGAGGTAAGATAGATCTCCATATCAAGGATATTTTGCTACTATCAATGGATGAAATCTCAACAAGCTTCCCATACTTAGCCCTTATGAAACAACTCCATAAGGATGTACTAGATAGAAATGCCTATGCAAGTTTCATTTTCATGGCTTTCATCACTTCTCCTACATTCTTAATACCTAAAACACCTTTTTGCATGGGAAGAGACATCTTATGCTATTTAACCCTATGATGTCTACTTTCTCCTCCACTTGTTCCAAAAGAAATTAGATATGTAGCTTTGAAGCCTAGAGATGGTGGTTTTTGGTACTAGTAACGGGCCTTTAGAATAAATAGGGATGTAGAAAATAACACTCGAATCAATGTTAATTTCCCATCCGCCGATAATGCCCTTCCATTTCATCCAACCATTTTTTCCCTAACTTTAGTTTCTAAATAGGTAAAATATTAGATGCGACATCTTCTTTTAAACAATGGCATACCAAGATACTTTAACATACCTATCGCTATAAGGAAGCTCGTCCACAAAGTGAGAAGGCTTTTCCTACTAGGAGATAACTTATTGCTTCATAAAATTAAACTCTTCCTATAGTTAATCAATTGTCCACTAGCAAGCATCATACATTTGGATTAATGAAAGCATTTTTTCAAGTGTCTTCTTACCCTCATTGCAAAACAAGAGCATATCATCTACAAATAAAAGATGTGAGATAATAAAAGTATTACGACCGAGTATAATAAGGCGTGATCACTCCCTTATCTATCCAAGCATTTAATCGATGACTCGAAGGCATCTTATGCCAAGATAAAAAGAGTGAGAGATAATGGGTACCCTTGTCTCACCTCACGTTGTGACTTAAAAAAGCCAAATGTATGAGAATTTAGACACAAAGTGTACCAATAGTTTAATAAGCATTGATAAATCAAATTACACCAACTACTTAAAAACTTGAACTTCTTCATAACGTTGATGAGAAAACTCCTCCTTATTCTACCATAAGCCTTAGCCATATTCACCTTTAAAATGACATCGCCATCACGAGTTTTCTTATCAATATCATTAAATAATTCTTGAGGAAAGGCTACATTCTCATGTATGGCTCTACCTTTTACAAACCTTGACTAGTCTTTCAAAATCAAAAAAGTGAGGACCCTACTAAGTCTTGTGGTAATCACCGGAGATAATATTTTATAAGAAAAGTTACACAAACTAATAGGCCTCATAGTTGTAAACTAGTAGGATTAGAACATTTAGGAATCAAAGCCAAATTAGTTGTAGTAACCCACCCATTTTGGTATATTCCCACCTTTGAAAACATCTTAAACCCATGACACCATATCCTCACCAATAATTTTCTAACATGTTTTGAAGAATGACTAGTAAATCCATCAAGGCTAGGAGCACTCGGATCATCTAGCTCAAAAACTACCATTTTCACCTCCTCTATAATGGAGATGGACATTAATCCATTATTTTACAAATCTGAAATTATATGCGGCACCTCTTTAAGGAATGAATCTCTCGTAGTGATCTGCCTCACTTGAAAACATTTTTTTAAAAAATATTTTATAACCTCTCTACCAAGTCTATCATCATCCATACACAGATCAACCATCTTCTAAGGTGAGAGCTAATAGAGTCTTAGCAACATGATTTTAGATGCTAGCATGAAAGAAGACTATATTTCTATCACATGCGACCAACGGTTTAGCTCTACACTTTTTCTAAAGAAACGACTCCTTCTAATCAATTAATTTAGCCAAGTACTCGTTTATCCGTTCTAAGTTTTGCTAGATTACTCTCACTCCAAATTGCTTCCGTAACATTAATTCTAACTTGAGTACCTTATCCTATGACTCATCAATTCTCCTATTAATGATTCTAAAAGTTTTCCAATTCCAGGTTTTTAACTCCTTTCACAAAGCTTTCGGCTTGAGATGTAAATTAAGGAAAGGCTTCGATCGAAAATGGTGCTCCATTGGTTTTGAACAAAGGGAAGGAAATCTATATACAAAGCCCACATTCTTCTAAATGAGAATCTAACTAGCTTAGGGTTTGAGTTACAATGAATAACGAGTAATGGGGAATGGTTCGAATGTATTCTTAGTAGATGAAAACAAACTAACCATGGAGCTATAGAAAGGAATGCATGATTCACTAAGACCCCGTCCAACCTCTTCGATATACGAGCCCCTACCCTCAAAATGCGAACCTCCATTCGGGATGCTGAACACATTAAAGAATGTCTGAATGTGTTGGTTGATTTGTTTAGTTTTAATTTATTGCTATAATTTTTTTGAGATCTTGATTTATTTTTAATTATTTTAATTTATTATTTTTGTAAATAAACATAACTTCAAGTGGCCCGGAAAAAGCTAGATAAGTCAAGCTACAAACACTAGTTGAGATGGCGAAGAGGTAAAAGGAAATCCTTGGACTTGATCTTAATGGATTAATTTTTAGCTTAATTGTTGACTAGGTGAAAGAATTTCTAAAAGATAAGATGAATCTTAATTAAAGAGTTTCACTATATTTTTTGGCTTAATATTTTATGATTTAATGGATGGCCTTTTTTCTTTCTTTTTTTTGTTTCATTTCTTTCTCAAAGATAGATAGATAGTTGAATGAATGTTATATTTTTTTCTTTTCTTTCCTCCTCTTTTTGAAGAATGACTGACAATTTTCGTTTTTTCAACAAGGTCTTTTAAACTAATATTTAATTTTGATTATTTTTCTTCTTTTTTCTATTCCTACTATCTTCTAATTTTAGTGCTCACTATATAGTTTTTTATCATATTTAGTTTTGATTATTTTATTGGGTATTTTTGTATTTTTTTCTTCCTTCTATTTATGTACGATGTCTTTTTAAATTAACGCAACTTCAAGATGTGAATGCTAGTAGAGATAGAAAAGAGGTAAAAATAAAATCCTTGGACTTGATCTTAATGGATTCTCTTATATCTAATACTAATTTGAGGTGACTTCTTTTAGCTCTCTTAGATTTTCAAATATTTTTTTTTCATTTTTGATATTTAAAGATCCATTAAGGAGTAAATTTCTTTGTTCTTTTGTTTTCTCTTTTATGAACAGATGGAAAATAGAACAAAGGACATGGAAAAGTGTATGTAAAGAAGTATGTGCTTTATTTGATTAGATTATTATTTTTGGATCTTTGTCTTGTAAATTTTAGGGTTCTTTTTGATGAATCAATTATGTGGTATTTTAATAAAAGATTAAAGCTTTATGATATTTTTCGTGTTTGTTGATTTGTTTGGTATTTATTTTGTTTGTTGCTACAACTTTTATTTCGATTATGATTTATTTTTTATTTTTTTATTTTTATGAATGCATGCAACTTCATATGACGTGGAAAAATCTAGACAAGTCAAGCTATGGATGCTAGTCGAAGTAAAAAGAAAATCCTTGGACTCATCAGTAAAAGTGCCTATCTAGTTGTCTCTTACAAATTTTCTATCATGAGAAAAAGTCCTAAAGTTTGTAAGCATTGTATGCCAAGGTTCTTACAAAATATAGGCCAACAATAAATGCCACGATGCTGATAGCTGAACTAAAGCTAGGGGTGAGCACTATTTAGTTAAAACTGAAAACCCAAACCGAATCAAACGGAATTGACAATTTTGGTTCATATTTGTAAAAAAAATTGAAAAAAATCTAAAATTGAAAAAAAAATATTTCGGCTTGATTTGTTTTGTTTTTTTTAAAAAAAATTGGTTTTCGTTGGAAGCCAAATTTTGAAGCAACCCTAGTAACCATCTACCTTCTATAATTCTTTCCGTTGGCTAAATTGCAAAAAACCCTTCAGCCTTCACCCTTGTTCTCCACTTCTCTCCTCACAAAATCATAGTCCCACAGCCATACAACAGATCCCACATATTTGACAGCTAGTCAGCCTGACCAAAACCACTCCACCGTTTAATCCTTGAACCAAGGTCCATCTGCCATTAAACCATTTCCTCACTTTCTCTCACAATCTCCCTCTCTATCAAAATTGAAAATTATCATAGACAAGCTCCAAGTTTAGCAAGCTTGTGCCTCAGAGTTGTTGAGAAGCATTTGGAAGATATTATTCCTCACTTGACCCATATTGTCGTCAACTTTCTTCCACATATTAAGGTAACTTGTTGCAGCACCCTTTATTTCCTCTTTTCTTTTTGATAAAATTATAGCCTTCATTGATGATTACCAAGAATTTATGCATCACTCTCTTTATCTTGCAATCTCTCTGTCTCTTAATTTATCAAAAATTTTCTTTTAACTTTGTTTAGAGATAAACAACATTTTGTTCTGTTGAGGATTGTTTTATCAATGCCTATTAAGAGGTAGATTGCTCCATGTGTATTTTGACAAATTAATAAATATATTTTAGAGGTGTTGTTAATTCTTCTTAGTCTATGTATTTTATACTTAGATGGCAGTACGTGAAAGGTTTTAAACTAGATTAAGGAAATCGAATTTGATGCCCACCATATGACAAACCTACAATGTTGATTCCATAGCTTGTCAATTCTTCTCTATTTTTTTTAAGGTAAAATGCTGGTAAATATATTCCAATGCCTCCCTTTTTCAAACTTATGCTCATCCATTCATTCTTGAAACACCAATGAATGTAATCTCTATATTAAAAGAGCATACAAAAAAAATTTTCTTCCACGTACTCTTCCAACAAGTGATATTGTCTTGTCATAGGATTTGCAACCATGAAAATTTATACGAGTTATTAATTTTATCCAAACTTTACTAATACAATGCCAAGAATCTATACATTAGTAAAAAAAACATAGCACGAGGTTACATTTGGCTTGCCCCAACATGTGTCAATTGTCTGCGTTAATGTTTTGTCAAGGGAACAAATGACATTGTGTTTTGGCATTGCATTTTGCAAGAAATTCAGTATTGAGGATGCCAATTGGATAATACATAATTATGAGTACTAGTCTATTTAAAATTATCATATTGATGCAGCAGGAGTTGTTGACTAATGTTGAAGCGTTTGTGAAAATGGCGACTTCTGGAGAGTCAGGAGATATGCCTAGAAGCTCTGTCCATTGATGAGAATACTACAAAAAAATCTTTTAATCGAATGTCAAAATTGGCAGTAATAGGTGACCATTAGCATGACAAAAAAAAATAATTATTATTATTATCTATAGTGATTACATTTTTGCTTAGAATGAAATTTAGCACAGAATCTGAAGAGATACAAGAAGTCCGAACTCATCCACTACAGATGGACTATGATTGGCTGATTGCTGTTGTAAGTCTTTTAATAATTTTAATTATTTTCTTTTCTTTCTTTCATTTTTCATAATTCAAGTTATCAATTAATAACAATATCTAGGTGCTCATTCGTTTAGCTGTTAAAGTTGCTAAATTCCAATTTTGATGAAGTGCTAATTCAAGTTGTCAATTAATAAAAATATCTGGAGTGCTAACTCATTTTACAGCCTAGAATCTTGATACCAGAGGCCTTAGGTTTGGGCAACTGGGTAAAAGCTCAAGAGTGGGGTACTAGGCTGCAACTCCAAGTGGCAAAAGATAATTATTTAGGACATGCAATTTTTTTTTTAAAAAAAAAAACTAATTTTAATCAAAAAATTGAACTAATTTTTTTTTAATCGAATAACAGAACCTCAATTCAGTTTGATTTTTAATTTTTTTTAATAAATTTGGTTAATCGAAGATAAAAAAAAATATCAAAATCAAATAAAAAAACCATATAATCAACCCTAACTAAAGGATATAGGTGATAGGATTACTAGTACCATAGATTATTTCAAGAGAACTCGCTATATTTGTGTTTTATATAAAGATGACGTCGGTAACAATACAATAAGACATTTATGCTATTGTATATTGACCTTTCATTAAAACCTTATCGTATAATATTAGTAACAATTTTATTGGAAATTCCTATGTAGAAATTAAAAGTTCAATACTTTTTGAGGTTGCTCTATAAAGAGCTTGCAAGCTATCACTTTAAGATACAGAGTTGGCCTTTGTGAAAACAAGTGCAGAACTAGGATGTAATCCATAAAATATTAAAAAGGACCGAGTATGAGAGCTTCATTCATTTGGACTATCAAAGGTAGGTGTCAACATTACTGAGAATGATATAGAGGGTTTTTGCAGCAAGAAATATATGTTTCTCTTTCCTTCCTTCTTTTATCTTTTTTTAATCTTTTTTGTTATATTCTTTCCGCCATTAATAAGTAGTAACTTAGCCCAAATTTAAAATAATTAATTTGATTCTATTTATTGATATGGACAATAATAAGTAAGTACCCACTAATTTAGTTAACTTATGAATGCTTACGGTTGGTAGGAAAGTTGAGTACTATATATTTTTTTCTTCATGGATCATTTTTGGCATAAAAAAACAAGCACTATGAATCTTATTGATTGCAATATGTGAACAAATTTAAGATGTAATATCCTTGAATTAAAAAACCCTAAACATATTTATATATGTGTGAACGTGTGTGAATATTTATTTTAATATGTGAAATTAATTTTTATGTTTGCATGAAAAATTATGTTTTATGCATGCATGAATATTATGTAATGTGAATGCATCATTAAATGTTTAATTTGGTAATTTTTAAATTATTAAAGGCTATGAATGTGTGAATAACCTAGGGACTTAATTGCAATGACCTAGGAACTTAATTGAAATAATTAAAAGTTTAAGTATTTAAGTAAATCATGAGGTAAAATTTAGTGACTCTTTTGTAACTTAGAAAGTGAATATTAAGGAATCACTTGTAGTAATCAAAAGTTTAAGGACTAAAATATAAGGACTCAATTGAATTAATAAATATAATTGAGTGACCAAAATAAAAATGTTTCAAACTTGAGGGACATAATAATTTGGCTAGGATGAGAATTTGATGCATGAAAATCTAACAAAGATGGATGAAGGAGAAGACCATATCATTTGGCCAAATGGGAGAAAATAAGAAAAGCAAACAATAATTAACAAGAAAAGACTCGAATATTCTAGAAAATTTTACAAGGTGAAGGAAAGGAATTAAGCCATCCAAGTGTCCATATTGCTTAACAAAATCCTAGCTAGTCTTCCCTATTTAATTCAGCTAAGTCTAGAAGAAGGAAGGAAGAAGAACCAACGAAGAACGTGAAGGATCATGCATCCTATGAAGGTGCTAAATAAAACAACAAAAAAAAAAAATTCTCCATCTAAAAGGCCCAAGAACATGTTGTTGAATCAACTAACCATATATTCATAAATTAAAGCATTGAATAAAGAAAAATTATTGTACTGCAGATTAAAACATTTGCGAGAAAGAGTCGATCAAGTGTCATGTAATCCAAGCACCACACAAGAAGTACTCAAAATTGGTAGAGTACTAGCTCCACCTCTTCCGACTTGTTTAGTGTTTATGCTTTAGAAATCTAATGAGGGTAATTTTGTGACAATCTAAAGAGAGAGAGGGAAGGTGTCGTGTGCTAGAGTTTTTAAGAGAAAACTATATTTTTTCTTATTTTTACTCAATGTCGTGTGCCCTAGCCTTTTATTTTTTCTTTGTGTCGTTTTCTCTCTTCTAAGAAACCACACTTCTTGTTGCACCTCTCCTTTTATTTATAGGGGGAGAGTTTCCTTGACCTCTAAGAATAAGGAGGGGCGAGAACTAGTCCTAATTAGACTCTTAGTTGTTTCTTCCTAGTCCTCCAAGGAATAAGAGTTATTATGCATGTGAGCTTTTTGATCTTATCCTTTAAAACGTTCATCCTTATCCAATAAGATTCATGTTTATCCTCCCGCTAAAATATCTTTCATACTTTTAATTAAACCTACTAGCTCAAAACTATTTTGGCTTAATTAATTAATTTGAACTATCCAAATAAATTAAATTAGATAATTTTAGGCAAGCATACACTAGGAAATAATTTTTCCAAAACCTAAATTAGGAAACTAATTTCCTTTTAAGTTATTTATTTTCAAATTTGGAACTGACTTTTAAATTAGAAAACTAATACCTAAAATAAAAAACTTTTCATTTTGGGAAACGTTTTCCAAAATAGGAAACTTTTCCAACATCTTTGCTTCGCTTTTATTATGTGAATGCTTAAACTTATGCTTATGACTCAATAGGCTTCTAGATATGTTGGCAATGTATCAAGAATAAAAGACACCTCTTTTATCTCTTCATACATAAATCAAGATTAACCTCTAGTAAAGCAAGCATGACTATCTAATTATCTATTAGGATTAATTAATTCGTAATTAACTTTCACGAGCATGGTTACCATAAAATTCAGTCCTCATGTCAACTTATCATATTGTAATCTCAAACTTGGTTATTAATCTTATTCAATTATGATCACACAAGTTTTATTCAATCCCCAAATATCTTAGCTCTTAGAGTAAACTAACTATACTTTATTGGTGTACCGCTCTCGTGGCCATAAGTTTTCTTGAGGAGACATTCATCGTAGTGCAAAGTGATAACTCTTTTAGTATACAAGAAATGAGATGTCTTATCTTAGTTATCCACCTACCTCTATTAGATTCCTAGTGCACCCAACAAATTACCCACGTGCAACCCTTTACCGGGTCTATCAAAACAATTATCAAAGTACATAAATCTTCTAATGAGATAACCGTGATGAATTCAAGTCTAAGAACCAGTTGTGCCCATCTCGTATAAGATTCCCATAAACTAAACTAAATGGGTTCTCATGACAAGTCAAGTCCAGTGATATATTCTCTAACATAAATCACCTAAGTGATTGCTTTTGTATTATCATGCCAACATATGTGAGATCTCCTACTACTACCATGTAGCATCTCGCATAGCACTCACAAATCTAACCATATATAGTCAATGTCCATGCTTAACAATGCTACAAATTAAGACATTAAATGATATCATTTATGTGTATTAGTATTTATCTCACATCTTTCAATGAATCACTAATGCAAATGCATATCATATAGACTTTTATCTAATTCTATTCAATAAATAAATATAAGACATAAGAATTAATAGAAAGACTTCTTTATTGTTAAGAAAATAAATGATGTAATAATACACTAACTTCAACCCATCTAAAAATTCTTGAATCTTGGGCACCTACACTAATAATCTTCCACTTGCACTAGAGCCAACCAGCCATGTCCTTTAATCCCGAAGATTGACCAAGGGACTCATATTTCGAGTGTGAAAAAGGCTTAGTCAAAGGATCAATTATGTTGTTGTTAGTGTACACCTTTTCTATCTTTGTGTCACAATGACTCGATAATCTCTTTAATTAAATGGTAGCATCATAGTATATTCGTGGACCATTGATGAGACCTTGGTTCCTTAGTATATGCTATGGATCCTTTGTTGTTGGCCATTAAGTTATGTGACATTAGAATACATCTTTCTTTAATTTTTTTCATACTATACCTTTTAGTATCATGTTATTGTATCTACCTTAGGAGACCTCACATTCTAAATGATCTATCTCTATAGATCTTTATTCTTAAAGTGTAGGTCGCCCTCTCATTTCATACTTAGGGAAATTGCTTTTAGATGTCTCAATCTGTTATGGATTGCAACATGATAATATTCGAAATCAAGATGTCATTAGTTTAATTTTTCATGTAGAATAATCATGACTTGCTAGCTCCTACCGACCTTTTGCGTACACAAGGTTTAATTTTACCAAAACATTGATTCTCATTCCTATAGGCATGTTTAAGTCCATAAATGGATCTTTGCATCTTGTAAATCTTATTTGCATGTTCTTTAGAACCATCGAGGTAAGTCATCTATGTACCCTTTTCGTTTTTCATTTCTAAGAGTCAATATCTAATATAGGCTTTTCATAAGAGTTAGCTTCGTTATCACTTTTTAAGGTATACATCACCATATGTTGAGATAAGAGGATCATATCCTTTTGTCCTTCGATGAACTCCTTTCGGACTTATGAAATTCTTATGTTTTTGTTTGTGGGTAGTTACAACATTTTGTAACCTATCTACTTGGGGTTCCATCCTTAGAGTGTTAATTTATGAGTCTACTCAAATCCCATTG